ACCTAAGTTCTGTTCTCTTCTTTTGTAAGTTCAGTGGACAATAATAATGTTAATAGTCATCATTTGCTTACCATATGCCAAGTGTTTGGCATGTATTAACTCACTTGATTCCCATGACTCTTGTTATTCCTGTCCTAGAGAACGAGGTAACAGAGCCACAGCTAGGTTGAGGATCTTGCTTACGGTCACGTAGCTCAGAAGAAGCAGAGCCAGGATTCAGATGCAAGTACTTTGATTCCAGAAATCTGGTTCTTAAACACTAAGCTTTATTGCCTTTTTTGAGTGAATGGATGATCAGTTAAAACAGATTTATACGAGCTATAAAAATGTTCTTAGTAATATATTTCCAAGTAAATAGTTTATGCAAATAAAATTTATGAATTATGAGGTGATATTTTTTTTTGTTAGGAAAGGACAGTTAATGATTAAGACACGTATCTGGAACTTTTTTTTTTTAAATACAGACTCAGATTCCTGGAAGGTATGTTATTACAGCATCACATGTAATCTAGTAAATCTGTCTGATATATGTTCCAAACAGCATATTACGCATCTCTGTTATCCTTACAAGTTGTACCTACCTCTTATGGAAGAAATTGTAACAATAAACAGATGTTAATTTTCATCATAATTTATTTGTTGGCCAGGAGCTCAGTTAAGTGCCTAAGGACTATGTAATAGTTGGAATTTGGAAATAAAGTTGATCGAGTCAGTCTTAAAACAGAATTCAGTCATTTAGAACTTTTGCCTAATACTGAGCAAGTGTGTTAGCTTTTGCTTTCTAATTTAGCACTTGGTCTGAATAATGAGACTGAATAAGACCATAAACCCAGGTACTTCTAGGCTTATAAGTTAAATTATGGTAAGGCCAAGTGACAAATGCTGAGAAATAGTCTGTCGACATGAGGAGAGATCAGCAGCGTGGAGTTCTTCCCAGAGAGGGGCAGAAAGACTAAAGTGGTTCAAAACCAAATCTGTTGAATAATTAGTTATTTATGATATTTTAAATATTCATCTGTTTTAATTCATATTCAAATGTTAGCTCTTTTATTCATACAATTAGTATTTCTAGATATAAATTTTTAATGATTTTACCTCCATATCAAGAATAATGGATTTTTTTCATCTTCAAAATATTTTGAGAACGCTCAGCTGTGACATAATCCAGCCCCTTTCCCAGATGAAAATGATGAATATGTATAAGAAGCAACTAATGAATTAGAATGTTGGTTTTCATTTTGTTTGCTTTCAATGATTGTTGACTGCTTTAAATATAAATATAGGCCTTTGATAACAAATATGTTCAAAGGAAGTACTGACAAAGTCTGGTAGGCTCTCTGTCTTCAACGTGGGTATGATACCAAGAGCTGATGATGGAAATAAAGGTAGACTTGGATTCAAAGAGACAGAGTTGAACTAGGAGTTTAAATTCCTGTGATCAACCTTTTCATCTTCTTTCCCTTTTCTGTCATTTACCCACATTTGAGCGTTTGTATTTTTAGCTTTTTGTTTGTCTCTCTTATGTATGGTATTATCTCATTATTGATAGAAGTTTGCATTATGTTTCAGGTTTGAAATAGTAGCATGGTTGGGTGATTAGGCATCATTTAGATTGACAGCAGAGTGGCTGCATGCATGAGTGCCTTTAATATGTCTTATTCCAAACAGCTCTTGATAATATTGATGTAAGTTTCTTTCCCCTTGATTTTTCATTTGAATACTCTTTCTTGATTATCCATTTAACTACTTATTAAAAAAACTTGCTTTGCATCTAAAAGTGCTATAAGCTAGTGACACAGCACCTTTAAGGGGGTCTAAATCTTGTGGTGGTAGACAGAACATGAATTATTGTAATTCCAAGGGGTAAGCACTGAGATAAGATCATCTGATAGATTGTTTTATTATGAGCTTTTAGATTATCTTAGAGGTGCCAATACATGGGAGTGTGTGTGTCTGTATGTGTATGATGATAAAAGCTCTTGAGCCTTTTTTTGGGGATTAGTAGAATCAAATTTATTTGTAATAATCAAGAATTACTCAAAACCAGATTTCTGAGTGTTAAGGTAGAACCCTCTTTTTATTTTTGAGTACTCACATTTGGAGTCTGTTATCAGCAAGGCATACTTGTTTTTGAAATGTTTCTATTTGGAAATATAGAAAGACAGAAAACTTGATTGCTGTTACTGTGTTCACAAACTGAAGCAAATATGAAATCCAGTATGTGATTTAGTTAAAAAAAAGAAATGGAGCTAGGAATTATTTTAATCCACTAGTAATCCATAGAGTTTATTTCAGTCTGGGATTTTATTCCTTCTTTGCACTGACTAAATTTTTGTCTCCTGCATTTTTATTGTTGTGGCAGAAGTTATTCATAAGGCTGTCTTCTAATCTCTGCCAGGAGAGTGTGCTTGCAGCCTTTGTGCAGGGGTTCCTGTCTAGGCGTAAAAGGAAGCCTTTTCTAGTTTACACCTGTTGATATTAGTAATATATATCCTATAACAAGGAAGTGCAATACTTGTTTGCAAGTAAATTTTTGAGGTGCATTCATGCGCCCTCAGTTTTTAAAACTTAACTGTGTTTTGACTACATTAAAGGATTTTTAAAGCATATATCTCATCATTCTATCATCTTGACACAAATATTTTCGTTTTCTGTTTCCCTCACTCTCTATTCATATATGAATTTGTTCTATTGTTGGAATCATGTCTGTTTTTACATTTAGAGACATTTCCATTGTTAGGAAGTTTTCATCATAATTTTAATTGCTGTGTTATAACTCATCAGCTACTTATTTTTATGTAAAACTTTTTAAAGCATTTCTTATATTATCTAGTTCACATTAGCATTCACCCATAATTTTTCAAAGTTTTATGCAAATAGTAATGTCATTAGTTTCTTTGCACATGATTTTTTGCTTATATAGTCCCTTCATGAATATATATATTTATTTTGCACTTTTTAAAAAACAATGAAAATTACTGCATAATTCATAAGCAACAGTAGGAAAGCCCTGAATTATTTATATTGTACTATATTGGGTAACTGCTAATTCAGCCTGGAGGTTTGCTTTTCCTTTTTAACATGTCACATTGTTTATCTGATTTAATCTCTGATTACTGTTTTTGCATTTCATATTTGTACATGGAAGTTGAAATAAACGTGACATAAAAGAAAGAAATGAGGCTTATTTGATATTCAATTCCAAAGATTTATATTAAGAACCATTCTCTTGTTAAATAATTAATGTGTATGAACTTTAAGGCTGCTATAGCAAAAATATTTCAAATATTTAGGCATTTATTCTAAATTCCATGGTCTGTAATGGTTACCAGGAATGTAGTTTCACAGCTAGTATAAAACAAAATATAATAAAGCTTGTTGGGGGAGGAGGTTCAAACATACCATATCAGGATATGAAATTTCTGACTTTTGGCTTTTGTAGCAACTTGGAATATAGCAAATAGTGCTTTTCTTCAGAGCTAATGCTATGTTTTTAGTAGCTTTAAAAACATTAATGTCGGCCGGCCCGGTGGCGCACTGAGCTAGTGCGCCGCTTGGGAAGCGCGGAGGCGCTCCCGCTG